TGTAAAATGTTCCCAGTTACCAGATTGCTAAGTGGAAACTTTTTTTCAAGTTTATTTTTTTAGTAATTTCTACATCCAACACAGGGCTGGAACTCACTACACCTAGATTAAGAGTCACAGGCCTTTCCAACTGGGCCAGCCAGGTGTGCCAAGTGAGAAATTGATGAAAACAAGAGTGGCTTCAAAGTCAAGAGGAATGATTTCATTTATAAAAGGCAAGCAACTGAAGGCTGAGAGTCAGTCCTTGGCCTTGTATTTTCTGGAGTTCTGTTTAGGATTGGGGGGGACTAGACTTCTTTCACTTAAGTGTTTGTTTACTGGGTGTCAATTATATGCTATGCTAGGCCCTGAGGATACAAAGCAAAAAAGCATCACCTAGGCCCTCAGAATGCTTTAGTTGGAGGAGATTGGATATTTACATACCTCTAATGGAGGTATGTTAAAAGAACATAGTGGACAGAGTATTCAATCTGGGGGAGTTAGGAAAAGACTTCAGAGAAGTCGTTCTTATCAAAGCTAATAGGAAGAGTTCGGTACCCCAGAAGGAGGGTAAGCTGAGTAAACTGTGGTTCTGAACTATGGAGACCCAAGAAAGAATGCTTTGGAGGAAGAGTCCAACAAAGAACAAAGTGAAAGGTAAGAGTGCAATGGACAGTAATGGAAGATGAGCCTGAATAAGTGAGGGGTAGACCACTAAGAATCCTGATAGCCACTCTGGAGTGTTACCACTTAGTGCTTGTACTATTATGATTGATTTTGAAGTAAAACATCTCTCAAATGACCCATGTTGCTTTGTAAACACAGTCATTAGGAGTTATTTAAATGATTTCACAAATGGTTATGTAGACAGACACTGGCATGTGTGGGATTTGAGAAACCTTGAAGTAAGTTATTCATTTAAAAAAAATTTTTTTTTTAAGATTTTTTATTTATTCATTTGATAGAAATCAGTAGGCAGAGAGAGATGGAGAAGCAGGCTCCCTGCTTGCGGAGCAGAAATCCTGATGCAGGGCTCGATCCCAGAACCCCGAGATCATGACCTGAGCCGAAGGCAGAGGCTTTAACCCACTGAGCCACCTAGGTGCCCCATTTTTTAAAATTTATCTTAGTTTTGTTTAAAGAAATTTTGTTCAGGTTTTCACAGATGAATTGAACAAGATGGGTCATGCCCATTTGCTCTCTTATCGGTAAATAGACCTTTTTCTCAATACCTAGGATAAAATCAAACTCTAATTCCCATTTCAGGGATAAACTAGCTTAGAACCATGGGAAAAAACACAAGCTTTGGAACTAAACAGAACTATCATAATTTAACTTAAGTATTTGAGCCTAGGTTTTCTCATCTGTAAAAGGGAATGGGAACTTAAATTAACTGAAAGGATTAAGTTAGACAATACATATATACATAAAACACTCAGAGGAGGGCTCTATGTTAGCTCCTACCCCACCTCACCCCACCGGCCCCTGCAACTTTAGGTGTGGTCTTTTGCTGAATACACTAAACAGCTGTTAGAATCTCCAGAGCTTGGTTTACAAAGATGAGTAATGCGGTTTCTAACATCCCGGAAGTTTCAGTTTCTTCCCTTCTGGAAGTTTCTTCTTTACAGTTTCATCCCTTAGTTTTCCCTTTTTTTAGTTTTTTTTTTTTTTTTTAAGATTTTAAAAATTTGACAGACAGAAACACAGCAAGAGAGGGAACACCAGCAGAGGGAATGGAACAGGGAGAGGCAGGCTTCCCGTGGAGCAGGGAGCCAGAGGCAGGGCTCAGTGTAGGGCTCGAACCAAGGACCCTAGGATCATGACCTGAACAGAAAGCAGCTGCTTGACAACTGAGCCACCCAGGCGCCCCATCCTTTACTGTTTATTAAACTTTGGTTTAGGGACTAATCACTTGAAAGAATTAGTTAAAAAGTTAATATTCTCAAGCCTCACCCCAGAGAATCTGATTTACTAGGTCTGACATGGAGACTAGGAATCTACCTTTTTCAAATTTATGTATTACGTAATTATCTATGTATTTATTTGATAGATTTTCATTATTCCTATTTTTATACATGAGGAAGCCCAGAGAAGGGCATTTTGGCGGCTCGGTTGTTAAGGGTCTGCCTTTTGCTCAGGTCATGATCCCAGCGTCCTGGGATCAAGCCCCAGGCCCCACGTGGGACTCCCGGCTCTGGGGGAAGCCTGCTTGTGTTCCTCTCTCGGTGTTTCTGTCAAATAAATAAATAAAACCTTAAAAAGGGGGGGGGAGCCCAGAGAAGTTATTATTATTTTTTTAAGATTTTACTATTTGAGGGGTGCCTGGGTGGCTCAGTCGCTAAGCATCTGCCTTCGGCTGGGGTCATGGTCCTGGGGTCCTGGGATCTAGTCCCACGCCAGGCTCCCCGTTCTGCGGGAGGCCTGCTTTTCCCTTTCCCACTCCCCCTGCTTGTGTTCCCTCTCTCACCATGTCTCTCTCTCTGTGTCAAATAAAAAAAAATCTTAAAAAAAAAAAGGATTTTAGGGCGCCTGGGTGGCTCAGTGGGTTGAGCCGCTGCCTTCAGCTCAGGTCATGATCTCAGGTTCCTGGGATCGAGTGCCGCATCGGGCTCTCTGCTCAGCAGGGAGCCTGCTTCCCTCTCTCTCTGCCTGCCTCTCTGCCTACTTGTGAACTCTGTCAAATAAATAAATAATAAAAAAAATCTTAAAAAAAAAAAAAGGATTTTATTTATTTGAGAGAAAGACAGCACATGAACGGGGTGGGGGGTGAGAGGCCAAGAGGAAGAGGAAGAGGAAGAAGCCAACTCCCCACGGAGGAGGGGACCTCTGTGGAGGAGGAGGGGCTGGATCCCAGAATCCTGGGATAATAACCTCAGCCGGAGGCGGCCGCTAAACCAACTGAGCCACCCAGGAGCCCCAGAATCTACCTTTTTAAACAAAGCAGACAATGGTTTGGATAGAGACTATCTGACATATTTTGGGAAGCTTTGATCTAGGGAGAGATGCTGTTGTAATGTAATTTGTAATGTAATGTTTTATATAAATGTATACAAGAGGATAATGCCATTTGAGCTGTCATAGAAGTTAGATTTAGTAGTTTTCAGGAGCTAAAAAGGAACAATACAAAACATTTAAAAATACATATGTAATTATTTCTTTCATTAAACCCATTTTTATAAATGGTTATATCAGGCCTGCTTTATTCAAGAATCTATGGAAGGCTTTTTGTGGGACTGCTCTGGGCTGGAATCTGGCACTAAAACTTACTAGCTTTGTGACTTTGGGCCAGTTATTTACCAGCCTAAATTTCTTATAAAATACATAACTTCTCTGGTACCAATATTTTCTTTATGAGCATGACACAAGGAATGCAGAACGCTTAACTGACCTACGCACCTAACACAGTAGGCATTCCACAATCACTTACTTTCTTCAGGGCCTATGCAAAGCAGCAGAGGCCTGTTTTAGGGGGATCCAGACTTTAAAACATGTCACGAAGTGCTGAATTGTAAATTGTAAATAACTTAGTGACAACACGTAAAATAGAAGGGGCTACAGAGAATGACCTCCGTGTCATTGACAAGTCTCCCAGGCTGCCTCCACCAAAAGCAGGAAAAAGGAGAGGTGGAATGGGAGGCCAGCAATTCGAGTGCCTGGGGGGAAAATGTCCTTTAACTTTGTAGTTACAAAAGCAGGAACTCTTTATCTTGCCATCCTGTTTTACGCTTAGACGGTATTTACAATGAAGAGGAGAAACAGGAAGTGGCTTATAGGACACTGACGCTGGGAGGCTCTCCAATGTATTTTGAGCTTCAAAGACCAGCCCTTGAAAAGTTAACCCTGATTAAGTAGTTAGCAGCTTTATCTGGGAGAAGTTAATAAAATGGCGTTTGCTGGTCTGACAAAGCCCTTGCGAACTGTCAGTTAACTGTGCGAGCGCAGCGCCAGATTTCGTCGAGCACGCACCCACAGGGCTTACACCCACATTCAAAGGCATCCGCCCGCTTGTCCGCCCACCCCAGGAAGGGTGAGACTTGAAAGGTACTTTTAAGAACGGTTAAGTGAAGGCTCGAACGAGCCCTGCTGGCGAGGCAGAACTGCGAACCGACTGTCTTGGCCTTGACACTTGCTGAGCAGCAAGGATCCACCGAAGCGCGGCACCTATTCACTGTAAAGACGTCCCCTGAGGAGGGCCAAAATGGCGGCGAACTCCTCTTGGCACAGCCCTGCTCCCTCCCCCAGGACGGGAGGCTCTACTAACGCCCATTGGCCAAGTTGGAGGCGGTGCCTACCTTCCTTCACCGCCTCATTGGACTGAGTGACTGAGGAAGACTCCAATTCTCCTCTGCCCACTCCAAAATCCCGCCCCCAGAGCTCATTCGGCGTTCAATTGGCTTTTCATTCACGTCAATCTGCGTCCTAGCCTGTCTTTTTTCAGTGTTAATCCAATCATAACTTTCCTGGCTGCCCGCCTGATTTCTGATTGGTTTTGGTCAGCTTCATCCTATCCCATTTCTGCCTACTTCTTACCACCTCCCGAAAAGGACTGTGCCCAGGCATGTCCAGGGTTCTGGTTGGTCGTTGTTCTGTCATTCCAGTCAAAGTTCTTCCTATCCCTACCGTTCAGGGAGCCCGCCTGGCGGTTGACTGGCTTCCTTCTAAGCCTATCATCACTAGCTCCCGCCCACCCTCGCTTCCTGCGTCTTTCATTGGCTTTTAAAACTGAGAGGGTGGCCTCCTTGGGCGGACACCGGGCACGCAACTTTGTCTTACACGCCTTAGCGAGGAAGCGAGTCTTGTCATTGGATAACCTACCCGTCTTTCTTCTGCAAGTCCCTCCTTTCTCCCTCCCTCATTGGGCGGGGCAGTAGCGAAGGGGCGGAGCCTAGGCTGGGCTTGTGGCGCGCTGCTCCCTCCTCCTTACCCCCCCCCTCCCTGTCCGGTCCGGGTTCGCTTGCCTCGTCAGCGTCCGCGTTTTTCCCGGCCCCCCCCAACCCCCCCGGACAGGACCCCCTTGAGCTCGTCCCTCAGCTGCCACCATGAGCGGTAAGGATGAGTCCACTCCAAGCTTAGGGGTGGGAGGGGAATGAGGGGGCGCGCGCGAGGGCCGACCGGGCGGTCCCCGCCGTGAGGGGGGGCGGGCGGGAGGCGGCGGCGGCGGCCTTGGTCCCGCCCGGGGCGGAGGGAAGGGAGGGAGAAGGGGCAGTGGCGGGGCCTGCGAGAAAGAGGGGGATGGGCCGCCCGCCCCGGGGGAGGGGGCAGCGTGGCCTCGCCCGCCCCCTGCCCGCCCCGGCCACGGGGGACGGGCCTTACCCCCCACTATTCGGCCGCCCGCCTGAGGCTCCTCCCGCCGGGGGCTGGAGCCGCGGGGGCGGCCCGAACAGTGCAGGCCCCGCCCGGGCCAACCGCCTCCCTGGTCCGCCCTCTGGTCGCCGCCTGCCCCAAGGCCCTCCCCTCCCCCCGTAGGTTTCCCCTCCCCTCCCCCCAGCCGTCCCGCCCTTTCCACGCCCCTCACCCCGAAACCGCCCTTTCCCTCTAGGGCCCGCCCTCTGTCCGCCCCGAAACCTCCAGATTCCTAAGCCCTGGACCCCTTTAGTCCTTTGGCAGTATTCACAAATGTTTTCCCACTCACACTTTTTATTTGTTCTTTTTTCTTTGCCCCTCTTCTGCTCTGGGTGCTTTTTACACTTCAAGTTTTCTCTTTCTCCATATCCTTTGACCCTAATTTTAGCAAGCTTTCCATCCACCCACATGTTGTTTTTTGCCTTACCTATCCTCCTTTTTCTCCCCAGGATACTTTTTTGTATTTTGAAACTCTTTGAACATGTCCACCGCCCCTTACATTTCCTATGTGAAAAGTACATTTTTAATGTTTTCTGGGTTTAATTTTGTGCAAGGGAGAATTAAGGCCCAGTTTTAGTGCTACTAAGCCTAGTTTGTGTTCTGTATGTCCTACAACTGCCCTTTCTCCAATCCACTTTTTTTTTTACACTAGTACCTTTCATCTTACTGTATTTCTTTTTCTTTGTAATGTCCCTTACTCCTCCTCACCTCACCTCACCCTTTTCCTTCCCCTAACTTTAAGTTGTCTTTTAATTCCTTTTAGACCAAGATCACTCCATGGATGAAATGACAGCTGTGGTGAAGATTGAAAAAGGAGTTGGTGGCAATAATGGGGGCAATGGTAATGGTGGTGGTGCCTTTTCTCAGGCTCGAAGCAGCAGCACAGGCAGTAGCAGCAGTGGAGGAGGAGGAGGGCAGGTAAGTGATGATCAGGACAGAGTGGGGGAGATGTTAAGAGAATGTGAATATTTTTAGATGATTATCTTTTCACAGAAACATTTTTAGGAAAGAGCTAAGTCATTTTGTAGCTAGGAAAGTTAACATAGTGAGACAAATTATTGGGAGATCCCCAAAGATGAGGATTTCAGGAGTATAAATAGGTCAGCTTTTCCTTCCTTCCTTCCTTCCTTCCTTCCTTCCTTCCTTTCCTCCTTCCTTTTTCCCCCTTTTTATGTGCACTGTTTTGCTGTTTATTTGTTTTATACTACCCCCTGGGCTGGCAGCTGGGTATCACTAAACTAATCCTCTCCTCTCCCTTATTTTCTGGCCAGGAATCCCAGCCATCCCCTCTGGCTCTGCTGGCAGCAACTTGCAGCAGAATTGAGTCACCCAATGAAAACAGCAACAACTCCCAGGGCCCAAGCCAGTCAGGGGGCACAGGTGAGCTTGACCTCACAGCCACACAGCTCTCACAGGGTGCCAATGGCTGGCAGATCATCTCTTCCTCCTCTGGGGCTACCCCTACCTCAAAGGAACAGAGTGGCAGCAGTACCAATGGCAGCAATGGCAGTGAGTCTTCCAAGAATCGCACAGTCTCTGGTGGGCAGTATGTTGTGGCTGCCACTTCTAACTTACAGAACCAGCAAGTCCTGACAGGATTACCTGGAGTGATGCCTAATATTCAGTATCAAGTAATCCCACAGTTCCAGACCGTTGATGGGCAACAGCTGCAGTTCGCAGCCACTGGAGCCCAAGTGCAGCAGGATGGTTCTGGTCAGATACAGATCATACCAGGTGCAAACCAACAGATCATCACAAATCGAGGAAGTGGAGGCAACATCATTGCTGCTATGCCAAACCTACTCCAGCAGGCTGTCCCCCTCCAAGGCCTGGCTAATAATGTACTCTCAGGACAGACTCAGTATGTGACCAACGTACCAGTGGCCCTGAATGGGAATATCACCTTGCTACCTGTCAACAGCGTTTCTGCAGCTACCTTGACTCCTAGCTCTCAGGCAGTCACTATCAGCAGCTCTGGGTCCCAGGAGAGTGGTTCACAGCCCGCCACCTCAGGGACTGCCATCAGTTCTGCCAGTTTGGTATCATCACAAGCCAGTTCCAGCTCCTTTTTCACCAATGCCAATAGCTATTCAACAACTACAACCACCAGCAACATGGGAATTATGAACTTTACCACCAGCGGATCAGCAGGGACCAGCTCTCAAGGGCAGACACCCCAGAGGGTCAGTGGGCTACAGGGGTCTGATGCTCTAAATATCCAGCAGAACCAGACATCTGGAGGCTCTCTGCAAACAAGTCAGCAAAAAGAGGGAGAGCAAAACCAGCAGACGCAGCAACAGCAGCAAATCCTTATCCAGCCTCAGCTAGTTCAAGGGGGACAGGCTCTCCAGGCCCTTCAAGCAGCACCATTGTCAGGGCAGACCTTTACAACCCAAGCTATCTCCCAGGAAACCCTCCAGAATCTCCAGCTTCAGGCTGTTCCAAACTCTGGCCCCATCATCATCCGGACACCAACCGTGGGGCCCAATGGACAGGTCAGTTGGCAGACTCTTCAGCTGCAGAATCTCCAAGTTCAGAACCCACAGGCCCAGACAATCACCTTGGCCCCAATGCAGGGTGTTTCCTTGGGGCAGACCAGCAGCAGCAATACCACCCTTACACCCATTGCCTCAGCTGCCTCCATCCCTACCGGCACAGTCACTGTGAATGCTGCTCAGCTCTCCTCCATGCCTGGCCTCCAGACCATTAACCTCAGTGCATTGGGTGCTTCAGGGATCCAGGTGCACCAGCTTCCAAGCCTGCCCTTGGCTATAGCAAATGCCCCAGGTAAGGCTTTCAATCTTTTGCATTCATTTCCAGAGCTAACTAGCTTAACTGAAACTGTTGAGTCTAAGGAAGGAAATAGAGATTTTTGTGGGTAACAGTTTCTAGAAGGCACGTTGATCAGAGAAATAGAATGATTCTATTTAAGTCATTTGGAACGGACTTAACGGAAACTTTTTTTTCAGTTAATCTTATGAGAAAGGAGCATTTCTGGGCAGTGTCTTTGGGGTCACTGTACTTCCAGGGCTTTTGGTGCTACAGAACAAGGGTCAGCAAACTTTGTTCTGTAAAGGTCCAGATAGTAAATATTTTAGGCCTTGTGGACCACGTAGTATTCTTTTTTATTTTTCCCTTACAACCCTTTAAAAATGTAAAACCAGGGCACCTGGGTGGCTCAGTGGGTTAAAGCCTCTGTCTTTGGCTTGGGTCATGATCTCAGGGTCCTAGGATGGAGCCCCGCATCAGGCTCTGCTCAGCAGGGAGCCTGCTTTCCTCCATCTCTCTGCCTGCCTCTCTGCCTACTTGTGATCTCTCTGTCAAATAAATAAATAAAATCTTAAAAAAAAAAAAAAAGCATTCTTACCTCAAGGGCTTTATTTGGCCTCTTGGCCCACCAGCATTGTAGAATGAGACTTGATTATAAACTTGACCTGTTTGTAGGACAGTTATTAAGTAATCAGGTATTTCTTATGAATTGTAGCTCTTTAAGTAAGGGAAAAGTGATAAAGTGGGTTCCAGAAGGATTCTTTCTTTCTTTCTTTCTTTTTTTTTTTTTTAAGATTTATTTTTTTATTTGTCTGACAGAGATCACAAGTAGGCAGAGAGGCAGGCAGAGAGAGAGAGGAGGAAGCAGGCTCTCCGCAGAGCAGAGAGCCCGATGCGGGGCTCCATCCCAGGACCCTGGGACCATGACCTGAGCCGAAAGCAGAGGCTTTAACCCACTGAGCCACCCAGGCGCCCCATTTTTTTTTTTTTTTTAAGATTTGTTTATTTAGGGGCACCTGGGTGGCTCAGTGGGTTAAGCCTCTGCCTTTGGCTTACGTCATGATCTCAGGGTCCTGGGATCGAGCCCCTCATTGGGTTCTGCTCAGCAGGGAGCCTGCTTCCCCCCTCTCTCTCTGCCTGCCTCCCTGCCTACTTGTGATCTCTCTCTCTCTGTGTCAAATAAACAAACAAAATCTTAAAAAAAAAAAAGATTGATTTGACACCCAGAGAGAGCACACACAAGCCTGGGAGAGGCACAGGGAGAGGGAGAAGCAGCCTCTCCCAATGTGGGGCTTGATCCCAGAACCCTGGGATCATGACTTGAGCCAAAAGTAGATGCTTTTTTTTTTTTTTTTAAGATTTTACTTATTTATTTGACAGATCATAGGTAGGCAGAGAGGCAGACAGAGAGAGAGATGGGGAAGCAGGCTCTCCACTGAGCAGAGAGCCCCTTGTGGAACTCCATCCCAGGACCCTGAGATCATGACCTGACCCGAAGGCAGATGCTTAACCAGCTGAGCCACCCAGACGCCTCTCTAGAAGGATTTTCAACAAAAAAGTTCATACTTAATTTTTAGTTAGCCAGAATATCCTGCTCTACTCTCTGTTTAATATTTAGTTAGCTAGAATATCCTACTCTCTGAGCAAGCTGATTAATTAAGGTTTAATTTTTTTAAACTTCTGGTTACCTTAAAAGTAGAATCCGTCTGTCTTCTCTTACACTAATGTGTATTTTCAGTAAGTTTCCTGGGTGATTCTGGTACTTCCTAGCTAGGAGAACCACTTCCTAGACTGCTTTGAATGTAGCGTATGATTAAGAAGGGATGGGAGAGAAAAGGAGAAGGCCTGAAATGGAGTGGGGAGGTGGAGCTGAGAGGAATTAGGAATAAGGAGAGCATTGAAGGGAAAGAGTCCTCAGGGAAGAGGTATGTATTGGAATGTATGTTTAATCAGTGGACCACAGTACTCAGTTATTCATTTTGAATAGTGTTTCACTGTTGGTTAGAGATTAAAAAAAGTGAAAAAAGTGAGAGTCTATTTAGAATTTATTTTAAATTCTGTGGTGATGGAGCTAATCTTTAGTAAAGCACAAGAAGAGGATACTATAGAATTTTTTTCAAGACTTACTTATCTGAAGAGGGAGAGGCAGAGGGAGAGGGAAATCCAAGCCGACTGCACGCTTAGAGTCAACACTGGGCTCAGTCTCGTAACTCTGAGATCAGACCTGAGCCAAAAATCAAGAATTGGACATTTTAAACCAGTGCGCCACCCAAGATACTATAGATTTTTATATTTAGGCATGATATAAAAAATTATGGGAAATAATTTAATATCACCAAATTTAGTTTTATTGGAATGTATGTGGGTTTGTAAACTGGTTACTTTTACTATAGAGTTATCATTTCATTTATGATTGGCTCTTATATAAAAGAGGGTAACAAATAGATAAGCGTATTTCCTGTCTTCTGCAGGTTTGGAAAATGGTGGCCGGGAGGTCTGCTCAAGTTCCCTAACTTTATTACATTCTTCTTTTTTTTAAAAAGATTTTATTTATTAGAACTTGAGAGAGAGATCATGAGTGGGGGTGAGGGGTAGAGGGAGAAAAAGACTTCCCACAAAGCTGGGAGCCCGATGTGGGACTCCATCCCATGACCCTAGGATCATGACCTGAGCTGAAGCCAGATGCTTAACCTGAGCCATCCAGGCACCCACTTTCTTACATTCTTGAGGTGTGTTTAAGATGACTACATTTTGAGCCTTAACAAGACAACGGTTTTCTTAATGCATCGGAGACCTTGGAATAGAAAGTCTGAGCTGGAGGGGACCAAAGAGGTCATCTAGTAAAACTGCCTTATTTTCTAGATGAGGAAGGGCATGGAGTTACAGAGAAGCAATTAAGTAAGTGGTGAGACTACATACTGTCAGAGCTAGGACTTGTACTTAGTTCTCCTAATGTAAGACTTACCTATTAGTTTTAACTTAGGATGTTAAAAAAATCCTTTAGAGTATTAAAAATGTTTTAGAAAAGATATTTTTGCTTCTTTGAAATTTAATGCTCTAGAGCTGGCAGATGTTTCATAGGCTAAAAATTATAGCTGTAGAAGTGGGAGAAGTTAATGAAAACTGAACAACACCCTGAAAATTAGACACTTGCTACAATAGCATGTTTGTTTTCTCTTTACTCTTAGTTTGTTGTATCCAATAGCTTTGCTCTTCCTCAAAGGAAGGCAAAGCTGGGGGATAGTTCCATTTAGTAATAATTTGGATCCTTGCGAATTTCTAAAAAGTTTCAGAGCTTAGGCTTTAGAGAAAAGTTATGAGGCATTCTCATTGCTAAATCATGCTCTGGGGAAGTCTGCCATATAATATGTCATAGGGTAGGGCTACCTGGCTATTATTGATGGTCTCAGAGCTCAAGAAAATGCATACCTTTCTGTGAAGTAGCTGCAGCTTGACATTCGCTAGTGAGAGAATGAGTCTCTGAAAGGCCATTTTGTGAGAGTTGAGATTGGTTGCCTCATTAATAGTGGTTTCCGAAGATAAAAGTTTCCTCCTTTTTGTTTAGTCATACTTGTGCAACATTTTTTCCCCCTTCAATTGGTCAACTTTATCCTCAGTGAAAGGTAATAAAATAATTTCCTAGAAGCTTTAGTGCTGCTCTGCTGTTGCCTGGCTGCTAAAAAATGTTTCATTTTACCCCTTTTTCTGGTATGTAGTAGTTTTACTGGAAAAACTCAATGTCTTGACAGTATAATATAGTAGAAAGAGCCTTGGATGTGAAATCATCTATAGATAAGTGGATAGATACATAGCACTCTACAAATTGAAACATTATTACGTGGTTGTGGAAGACTGCAACTTCCATGGTGTTCACTTAGTCTGTTTACATTTATTATTTTTAAAAATTATCTTTTAGAAATTGTTTAAGCTCTCCTGTTGACTTGTAGTGTTTATTTCTGTTTGCTGAATACACAGGCAAAGGCACACAGAAACTTAGCACAAAAGTAAGCCAGCCATCTCTGTGTTTTTTATGGCTCAGCCCCTGGTGGGTGGTAGTGAGGAAGGGACCACCCAGTAAACTGAGTTTAGTTCTAGACAGTGAAATGATCTATGGGCTCTGAGGTTGGGTGTTTTTTTTTTTTTTTCCCCATCAGCTTTTTTGTAGTTTTTTGTTTTTAAATTGACACTGTTTCCCAGTTAAAGCCCCCTTTCCTCTCATTTTGTAGTTAACACTCTCACAGATCTTGTTTTTTTCCAGTTTAAAGTTTCAGGTTTTTTCTCAGACACTGCTGTGTCCTGAAAACTCTTCCACCAGGTTGAGGGGGGCCAGCTTTGAAAGACGTTTGTATGACTTCGTGGGAGTTCTGCCTAATAAAGAGTTCAGTGCTAGTCTTTGGCAGGAGAATAAAACATATTTCCTTGATGGCTATAATTCAGTCAAGAAGCAAACTTCAGGCACTAAAAATAAAAATTTCACATCTGCTTGGTTTTATCCAGGTCAGGAAAATGTGTTCTCTTAGAAGTTAAGTTGAATGTGATACCAGAGTTAGTTTGCCAACAGTGTTGCTAAACTTGGGGTCAGATTGCTGAGAACTAATTTATTATAAAGTTGTATTTTAGACTAGGGTATTTGAACACTAGTTACAAGTAGGTTTAGATAATTTATATGTGTTCAGAATTATTCTTTTGCAAAAGATCATTTGAGAGAATTTTCTCTTAATATACTTTATCAAATACGTAATGTCAAATGTTTCTACATCGTTTGCCTTTTTAATCTAATACTTGTTTCTGAAGGTGATATTAGTGCTTTTAACTGATTTCAATTTAAGTAGAAAAGGTCTCCTTTAAAACCAAGGTCCCTTCGTTGATTTGAAACTACTGAGAAGATAGTCCTCGGACCTTTTCAGTTGCTCCTATTTACTCATTCTGGTGGCTTTCTGTAAATGACGTCATTGTTAAATCACATTGCATTGTGTAATGTGGCCATTTTAGTTCTTAATTAAATAACAAGAGCACAA